GCAACCTCAAGTGGTGTCCGACAAGACTGTCCACTTTCTCCATTTTTGTTTAACTTCATCATAGACCTACTAGTGGAAATAACATTCTCGTCGACTGAATTCTTGGGCATTGATCTCCTTCCAGGAGGTCCACTTATCGACTTAGAATACGCAGATGACATAGTCCTGTTTGGTGGAGACGCTGACAAAATGCAAAGTCTTTTGGTAGCACTGAGCAACAATGCCAGAATGTTTGGAATGCGCTTCTCTCCCTTTAAATGCAGGTTGTTGCCATATTGTTCTATGAACTAGATGGTTTGGCCTAGAAGCTTTCATCACCAATTATCCCATTCATTTTTACACTTATTTTAATGTTTCAACCATTTTAAAAGAGTTACCTTCTTACTATAGATTCTATTTGTACTAGATAAGGAATTTAATGAGATGCGAGGAGATCACTTATCAACTAGTTACTAGTAGATACTTTCCCGACCGTTGTTGCTACCTTGACGTGGTGGTCGGGCTTGCCTATCGTGATGAAGCAACCGAGCTATACTGGCTGGAACAACCGTTCCTCAAGGTCCTACCATGTCAGACAGGTCGGTTGAAAAGCGGTAAGACTAAAAGCAACAAACCCAAGGTCCGAAGGCGAAGTCGTACTGCTGACTGTACAGAGGTGTGACAGCTGTAAGGTGTTTCCTTCAGACAACCAGCATGACAGCGATGCTGCCTTCCCACAAGGAGGGGTGGGGTTAGAAAAGGTCGACCCTAAAAATGCACACCTCGCCTTATCCCACGGATATCCGTCTCCGGCGGTAAGGTCTCAATAAGTACGGAGCTAACACAAAAATTACCCATAACAAGGTCGTGTGTGACCGACCTCAAGCAGTTGTCCCTTGGGCACTGCGGTCACGCTCTCAGGTCACTAAGACCACCTTTAATCCAAATTCCTTTTCAGGTACCTCCAGAACAACCCTTCCACGGTGTGGGCAACCGGGAAGTGAAAACCGCCCTCATACCTCTAACAGCACTCAAGACCACTGTATTCATAATCAACCTTCCTCTTCAATTCCTATTATTCCTCCTACATCGACTTTCTACTTTAAATTTCCTCTCTCGGCTTCCACCTCAAGTGTCACCATAGCCAACGATTCTAGTGCGCAAAACACTGTCCCAGGTCTACTGAAACCTCGCTCCAAACTACACATTGGAGCCTTCAACGTACGAACCCTATGTCAAATCGGTCAGCAGGCTTCCTTGGCTAAAACCCTAGAGTCTCTTACTATTGACGTGTGCTGTGTCTCCGAAACACGCATACAGGATTTCAGTGTGGTCATTCACTTGACCTCACCTCAGCGAAACGGAGAGCCAACGAGGTACACCCTTCGTGTATCTGGTGACCCGATGGCAAGTTCTCGTGGACTGGCAGGTGTAGGCATAGCACTAAGCATGAGGGCCGAACAAGCACTGCTAGAGTGGATCCCCGTCAACAGTCGTCCATGTGCTGTTCGGCTGAACGGCTCCATAAGAACTCGGAAGGATAGGGACACACGTCGTTGCCTTTTTGTCGTTTCTGCCTACGCTCCCACTGACTGCAGCTCAGATGATGTGAAAGATGAGTTTTACAGAAAGCTGTCCGAACTTCTTCAGAAAGCTAAACGCTCAGACATAGTACTCGTAGCAGGTGATTTTAATGCTCAGATAGGCAGTTTAAACCAAACAGAAAGGCATTTAGGTGGATATTTTAGTATTCCAGCACAACGAACAGATAATGGTGATCGTCTGCTGCAACTGTGCTCAGACAATCGTTTATTTTTAGCAAGCACAAATTTTAAGCATAAGGAGAGACATCGTCTAACATGGCGACCCCCTACACCAAACCAACGATGGACTCTAATAGACCATATTGCCATGAGTCATCGTTGGAGAGGGTCGGTACAACATTGGCGTTCATTCTGGAGTACCTACTTGGTCTTCGATCACGCCCTAAGACGGGAACGCATCTGCTTGCGCCTCACTGGACGCAAAAAAGCCTCAGTAAAAAGACCCATTAGAACTGAATTGAGTAACGAGAAAACCAAAAGTAGGTTCCAGGAACAACTGAGGTCACACTTAGGTAGTTGTGAAGACGAGGCTGACCCAGATGTTGCTTGGAAGGGCATGCAATCAGCTGTGGAAACAGCAGTGACATCTATTAGCGATTTAGGCCACAGGGTTACAAGGAACCAGTGGATTTCTTCAAGGTCTGTCACACTGATGGATTCTCGCAAACTCGTCCCATCAGGTTCTGAACATGATGAAGAGCGACAACAAATCAGATCTAGGTTAAGCGATAGTCTAAGAAACGACCGTGAGCAGTGGTGGGCATCGAAAGCACAAGAGATGGAAATGGCGGCGGCTATAGGGAACACAAGACAGCTTTACAGACTAATAAAAGAAACTGGAATTAAAAAGTCAAGTGTATGTGAGATTATATCGGAAAAAGACGATACACTCATCTGTTCCAAGTCCAGGCGTCTAGAACGATGGGCCGAACACTTTAGGGAACAGTTCAGCTGACCTCCAGCTTTCCTACAACTACCCTCCATTCCCAGACTGTGTGAATGGAACATTGAAGTAGGTCCCCCGACTCTTGCTGAAGTTCAAAAGGCTATAGTTAATCTGAAACGAGGAAGGGCAGCTGGTCCAGATGGATTGGCTCCAGAGGTCTTTAAGGATGGTGGTCCAATTTTAGCGATTAGGTTGACTAATATTTTAGCTAAGATCTGGGAATTAGACTTTATCCCATCTGACTGGTCACAATCACTTATCGTCCCGATAGATAAGAGAGCGTTAAAATCATCCTGTGAAAACCATAGAGGGATTAGTTTAACAAACATAGTATCTAAAATACTGGCCTCGATAATTATCAAACGCCTAACTAAAACTCGTGAACTACAAACTCGAGAGAACCAAGCTGGCTTCAGACCTGGTCGTGGCTGCATCGACCACATATTCACCATTCGTCAGGTTCTAGAACATTGGCATACTTATCGACGTCCGACAATGGTGGTCTTTCTTGACTTAAAATTAGCATTTGACTCGGTAGACCGCGAGATTCTGTGGCAGTGTCTGTCATTGAAAGGCGTACCTCAGAAGTACATAAACCTCGTGAAGGCTCTTTACTCGAACACTACTAGTCGAGTCAGAGCTCATGGCGAACTATCATCTACTTTTGCAACCTCAAGTGGTGTCCGACAAGACTGTCCACTTTCTCCATTTTTGTTTAACTTCATCATAGACCTACTAGTGGAAATAACATTCTCGTCGACTGAATTCTTGGGCATTGATCTCCTTCCAGGAGGTCCACTTATCGACTTAGAATACGCAGATGACATAGTCCTGTTTGGTGGAGACGCTGACAAAATGCAGAGTCTTTTGGTTGCACTGAGCAACAATGCCAGAATGTTTGGAATTCGCTTCTGTCCCTCTAAATGCAAGTTGTTGCTTCAGGACTGGTCTGGGTCAACACCTGAACTAAGGATAGGGAGTGAAGTAGTTGAACGCGTTGACAACTTCACTTATCTTGGAAGTCTGATCAGCCCTAATGGGTTGGTGTCTGACGAAATCTCAGCACGGATTCGAAAAGCTCGTTTGGCTTTTGCCAACTTACGTCACCTTTGGCGAAGGAGAGATATCCGTCTATCAATAAAAGGACGAGTATACTGCGCGGCAGTTCGTTCTGTTTTAATTATCGGCAGCGAAACATGGCCCTTAAGAGTAGAAGACACCCGTAAGTTACTAGTATTTGACCACAGATGCCTTAGAAATATTGCTGGCATCTGCTGGGATCACCGGGTAAGTAATAGTGAGGTTAGACGCAGGGTATTAGGGAATGATGGTAAATCAGTTGATGAGGTTATGAGATGGTTGGGCCACGTATTACGTATGCCTGAACATCGATTACCACGACGTGCAATGCTAACCGGGGTAGGGGATGGTTGGAAGAAAGTTAGGGGCGGCCAAACCAAAACGTGGCATCAGTGCATGAAGTCACTAACTTCTAGTCTGAGCCATGTTGGTAGATGCAGACTACTTGGTTGGGGTCCGCGTGACTTTCGTAACCAATGTTTGGAGACTCTTGGTGACATGGCTCAGAATCGATCACAATGGCGTCGGTGTATACACTCCCTGTCTTCCCTTAAACTAAGAGACTAAAATCACGTCATTCTTTCTGTCTACGAACTAATTCTTTCTTCCTGTACTATATCCTTATTGCAACCTTTGACCTAACCACTCCTATGAATCCGCTGTTCATCTTGCTGTGCTAATGAGGTATGGCAACCTGGACCGATGCACATATGTGCCTGGTCCTACGTTAGAGCTGACTGACTGACTGAGTAGATCCTTTTTATATTGTCTGTTTGAATCTGCCCTTTGGTGTTTAAGACTTCAATTGATCAGTCTCTTATTAGCACATGTACATTCTATGCGGATTACTTCGATACTACCATAAATTCACACGAAGTTTCAAATGAACAATACAAAATGCATTTAAGCTTCATCCTACTGCACAAGCTAATGGCTATCTGAACTCACTAGCTAAATCGATAACGTGATGACATTTGTAGTGAACACTACTGGATTCAATGCTTGAATTGAAAATCAACTAAGAAATACAAATACATTCAGCTGAGGAGTCCCAATTAGGACGGACGAAACACGCATGCATTCCACTGCTAGCCATCATCCATCTTTACATATTATAGTTACCAGTCAAGTAACAATGAAATATACGTCTGTTATTCTCTAATTTAATATATAGCTATTCTTAAGTAATAATCAAGCTAATAGATCGATTAAATTTTCTTTTTAAAAATGACATACATGATCTAATCAATTTATCTTCATTATTGTGATGAAATTTACTTATATCACTGAAAAGGGAATAAAAGAAGACAGCCGTTTTATACTACTATTAAAATAGTATCCTTTGTCTACAGATAGATATCTTTGATCCTATCCGATTGATTCAATCTTGAATGGATTCAACTTACTCATCACAATACATGGATTCATTTAACAAGGAAATGTTATCTATAAACTCATTAACAAATGACAAAGGTTGTTTAGAAGAAGTAAGTTTCATATTCAATTTTGCGAATATTAAAATTTCTTATGAATATATAAAGAATAAATATGAACTTTTAGTTCTAGAATAAAGATTTCAATAGTTGAGATCATGAGTCAATTGAAACTAGACCACCATGGAAAATCTAGATGCACTGGACGTCCGTTTCGTCCTATTGTAGGACCCTTCAGCAGTGCTCATCCACGACCTCACCTCGCGAAATTTGAACTCAGGACCTAACAGTCTCGCGCGCGATATCTAACTTCAGTCAATCCACGAAATGCAGTGATACATCCACCAATGCCTTCAGTGAGTTACTATCTCACAACAGACCCGGTTGAACTCCACTGCTCACTGCTTCTCACCAGAACTCCAGGAAATATCTCTTGAAACCAGCCATTAATTATTATCTAAATAAGAATAAGAACTACAGTGCGGAATGATTGAATTTAGGTACATAGAATATTAAAATTCGACTTTATGATCCTTTCTTAATGTGAAATTCTTGAATATGATATCTGATTAAGTCAATCATGTACACTGTTAAAATGTTTCAAACTTGAACAAGTGCTCAGCGTTGCAAGATCTTTAACGGTTTCTTGACATAAACCTCTCAGAGCAAAATGATATGAGAAAAAATAATACCTGTGTATAAGGAATAAAAAAGTAGAAAGAGTAAGAAAAAATTTTGGATAAGCCTTGAATACAGTTACCGTTATAACTTTTAGTTATGAACTATGTGATGTTCGAATAATGAGATATCTAAAGTCTTACCCAATAAGTTGAAATTCTTTTTGTAGGGCTCAGTTCATCAATCAGTAATGGTATAGATTACTTTATGCTAGGAATTAGAAGTAATCATCATTTAGCACTAACCAACCTAAACCTTGCATGTAACTTGGTAACTGGATAATCTATATTTCATAACTTTACACACAGACTCAGTTACTGCATTTAATATCAATATCAAAACGTCGGTTCATCCATACTAAGTCTATGTTTAAGCAAACGTTGATTCATCATCTTTGAGTCCACTCTTAAAATCACTTCCGTTATATCTTGAGCTTAGTTTCTTATTATATCGCGTACAATTTGAGCAGTCGAACGCTAAAACCGTCCTAAGTCGCAAGTTAGAACATAAAAGACAAGTAAAAGAAATGTTATTTCAAACAGCATCAATTGTGGTACAAAAATGTCAGGTATTTATAGTTTCTAGTGAAGACGAAATCATCATTATAGCTCTTGAATATGCATACAGGTGGTTATTAGCATTTGTCCAATAGGGAAGCTACACATAGGGATTCTGGAATATTCTTCAAAAAATTGATTGAATGGAATATCTTCAGCTATTTTTTAAGCTTTCTATAGCTTCCTCGAGTTCACACATGTGTCGTCCTCATAAATGCAAACAGCATTTCTATCTGGCACATTTTAACCGATAAAAATTCAATGTTTATTTCATCAATGTCTTTTTCAACAGAATTCACTTCATCATTATGATTACTGGACACTGAATAACAGTTTAAATTCACCAACAATTGAAGTAGATCAACGAGCAAATTGGATGATTCAGATGAAATCAATCCTTTTAAAAAATGATATATTTTCCAAAATTCAGTATGTACATTATCATATTCCTTTTCGTACAACACTTCATCATCATCATCATCATCATCATCATCATCATCATCATCATCATCATCATCATCATCATCATCATCATCATCATCATCATCATCATCATCATCATCATCATCATCATCATCATCATCATCATCATCATCATCATCATCATCATCATCATCATCATCATCATCATCATCATCATCATCATCATCATCATCATCATCATCATCATCATCATCATCATCATCATCATCATCATCATCATCATCATCATCATCATCATCATCATCATCATCATCATCATCATCATCATCATCATCATCATCATCATCATCATCATCATCATCATCATCATCATCATCATCATCATCATCATCATCATCATCATCATCATCATCATCATCATCATCATCATCATCATCATCATCATCATCATCATCATCATCATCATCATCATCATCATCATCATCATCATCATCATCATCATCATCATCATCATCATCATCATCATCATCATCATCATCATCATCATCATCATCATCATCATCATCATCATCATCATCATCATCATCATCATCATCATCATCATCATCATCATCATCATCATCATCATCATCATCATCATCATCATCATCATCATCATCATCATCATCATCATCATCATCATCATCATCATCATCATCATCATCATCATCATCATCATCATCATCATCATCATCATCATCATCATCATCATCATCATCATCATCATCATCATCATCATCATCATCATCATCATCATCATCATCATCATCATCATCATCATCATCATCATCATCATCATCATCATCATCATCATCATCATCATCATCATCATCATCATCATCATCTTCATCATCATCATCATCATCATCATCATCATTGATGCTAATGAAGAACAGTTGATTTGTGAATGTAATAAGAGATCCAAATTTTGTTTACATGACCTTAGTTATAAACGTAAACTTCAAATTGAACAAATAATGATCACTTTTTCAAAGTTGAAAATGAATCCTCAACATTTCTTTATTATTGATTGTCGTTATCCACATAATGTAATGCTGGACATATTTGTAGTGCTATTAATCTATGAGAATGGCCAAAACTTTATAAATATTTTTTTGGTATAAATCAACAATGTATTGAAACTACTGAAATGGATTTAAGTAACTCATTATATTCAACGGAGCAACTGATTAAACCATAACCATCTCATACTATATTTATATTATATTGTGAATTTTCTACAAAACGTGCACCACAATTATTTTATCTTTTACGTACTCATGACAGAGTATTACATTTCACTTCATATCCTGCATTAAAATATCCATTTGTTCTTCTTCTTCTTCTTGTTCTTCTTCTTGTTCTTCTTGTATGTTTCCCTTCACGATTCCATGTTATCGCTTGTCTCATGATGTAGTTCGATTCCAGTTCAATACTATTTACTTGTTACTTATTTATTTCACAATTATTTTATCTCATTTCTTCTATTCATAATGATTAATGTAAGGAACATCGATTCAATTCATTTTGATCGAAAAGTTTTCTCTCAAACACAATTCATTAACATTGCAACCTATTCAACATTGAATATGTTTCTTTTAATTCAATCATTAATAATGTCTTTGTTTAAATATATTTTTCTTTTATTTTCATTGGTTGATTAACTAGAATTAAAAGAGAAAAGCTTGACAAATACAACTTAAAAATGAGTTTATATATATAGAGAGAGAAACCTAAGGCCCTGGGTTCTAATCCCGCGAGCGGGATCGTGGATGCGTACTGTTAAGGAGTCCCATAATATAATGAAACGGACAGCCAGTGCTTCTAGGTTTTCAACAGCGGTCTAACATCATTCGGTTCATGATCCCAATCATTAAACGTGTAATAATGTATTCAACTATTTATTTATCTGACAGTAGACTGTAATAAAGGAATAATGAAATCATTAAAAATGATTGATATTCAGAAGAGTTACAATAAACTGAATAGCTCAAATATTGATTTATTTAGCCTAAATAAAGCAATTTGTTGGTAGCAGGGAAATCCAGGAAGTGCGTTTTTCCTGATCTAGCACTTATCATTTCGGTGTACTTTCATTCAAGTTGATCTTCTCTCCGAAGCTCAAACCCAGTACTGTTCTCTTCAAATGCCATTCCGTTATCCACTTAACTACTAAGTACAGATAGCTACTGCCTTTTGGAGTGGAGTTAATTTTAATTTATACATATTGCTTGTTTGGATCTTTTCATTAATAGTTTACTAATGCAATTTCGAGATGGTGGAAAAGATTTGTAGCTCAAGTGGACAATTTTGATGGAGTTTCGTCCTCTGAACTGGATGGTCTAGTCGTGGAGCATTCATCGTTCTTCTGAACCACATTGTCAGCACAAACTTCAGGTAGACTTCTTCAGGTGACTTCTACCTGAAGATTTGTGCTGATGATGTCGTTCAGAAGAACGATGAAAGATCCACGACCAAACCATCCAGTTCAGAGAACAAAACTTCATCAAAAACTAATGCAAATGTTAAGTCTCTTCTGATATACATACATCCTATATGGATTGCCTAGATATTGTCATTAATTTTCAAGCATTTTAAGCAAAGATGAATAGTGGCTAGCAATGGAATCTAGGATGCATGTTTTACCCTGCTCGGATTTCATAAGGTGAACTTACCTGTTCAACTACAGTCATAAAACGTAAATAGGAAGATGCAAACAACTAATATATATAATCACAATCAGAGAGGGGTTTCCTGGAGATTATACTACGACCGTATGTGGTACTAGGTTTCCACTGTACAAATCGCAACACTATCCCTTTTCATCATAGAGATAACCATAGACTTATGTGATCCGATGGAAATAGTGAAGAAAAAGACAACAGCAATAGAGATCTTAATTCCCAACAGTAATCCATCAAAACTGTCGTAATACACAGAAAGTTTTAGGTTTAACTGATATAATATTGGTTATTAGTTAATGAATAGGATTTAACTCAATGGTATTCGATACAATTGGGAAGGATTGCCCAGGGCAGAGTTGGATGAAGAGCGCTGGTGGGTGGCCTATGCCCCACTCGATACTGGTTATTCAATGGATTGCTATTGAATATAATTAAAAAATTTTGAAAAAAACGACAATTAACATATAAAAAAGTATGATTGAGCTATATATTGCTCTATTTTAACAAACATAAATGACGATTATTGTAAGCAATGATGGATAGTGGCCAGCAGTGGAATCCAGGACGCACGTTTCGTTCGATTTGGGACTCGTCAGCTGGATGTACTTGCATCTCAGAGTTGATGTTCACTCTGTACTTTCATTCAAGCTAACATCAAAACATTTGTGGTTTAAAGTTATCGTTCACACCTAGACCCCTTATCAATGAGCAATTCTCTACACTCTTCCATTTTGAACCCAAACTATTCTCTTGATTATTATTATTATTATTATTATTATTATTATTATTGCTATTATTGTCAGTTATTATCATACCCTTGAAATTTATCATTTGAGGTAGAGAATAATAATCATAATCGTTTTAATGACAGTTATTGTAATTCTTTTTAAAAAAATAGTTTTTGATTGAGATCGTGAACTGATTGATGTGAGACCATCACTGAAAATCTGAAAGCACTGGATGACCGTTTCGTTCTGTTGTGGGACTCCTCAGAAATGCGTATCCAAGATCCAGCTCACGGGATTCAAACATAGGGCCTTCAGTCTCTCGCACCAATGCTTAAACTTCAGACCAGTAAGCAGGCATCCAACGGTGTTAATGTCTAACTTCGATCAACCCATGAAATTTTGCGACCATCTTCCATTGTACTGAGGTAGATACCTGTCTCTACCCCACAAGGATTAGCTCCACTGATCACAGCTTCTCACTGGAGCTCCGAGAACTCCCTCCCGAAGCTAGTCACTAGTTACTAGTCACAATGTGAGATGGTCGCGCAACTTCGCGGATTGGTTAAGGTTAGACATTAACACTGTTGGATGCCGACTCAATGGTCTAGTAGTTAAGTGCTTTAGTGCAAGGCTGAAGGCCTTGGGTTCGAATCCCACGAGGTGGGATCATGGATGCACACTGGTGAGGAGTCCCACAATAGGACGAAACTGCCGTCTTGTGCTTTCAGGTGTTCAATGGTGATCTAACATCATTCGGTTCATGATTTCAATTTAAACAAAAGCATAATTAATCTCCACAACCTCATAATGAAAAATTATTTTATTTTATTTTACTTTTTGTCATTGTTTTTTTTGAATTATTATTATTTAGCTACACTAATTTAACATCAAAACCACTTTCATGTTCAATATGTCATCGAGGCTTTTGTCAATCACGTTCATTAGAAAATCATAAACGTTCAAACCATCCAATTAAAAAAGATGAAACCGGTACAAAATTCAATGATAATCATTCGACTAGATTGATTTATACAACAGCTAATATTATTCCTATAAATGACATGAATACTACTACTACTACTACTACTACTACTACTACTACTACTACTACTACTACTACTACTCCTAATAATAATAATAATAATAATAATAATAATAATAATAATAATAATAGTAGTAGTAGTAGTAGTAGTAGTAGTAGTAGTAGTAGTAGTAGTAGTATTCATGTCATTTATAGGAATAATATTAGCTGTTGTATAAATCAATCTAGTCGAATGATTATCATTGAATTTTGTACCGGTTTCATCTTTTTTAATTGGATGGTTTGAACGTTTATGATTTTCTAATGAACGTGATTGACAAAAGCCTCGATGACATATTGAACATGAAAGTGGTTTTGATGTTAAATTAGTGTAGCTAAATAATAATAATTCAAAAAAAACAATGACAAAAAGTAAAATAAAATAAAATAATTTTTCATTATGAGGTTGTGGAGATTAATTATGCTTTTGTTTAAATTGAAATCATGAACCGAATGATGTTAGATCACCATTGAACACCTGAAAGCACAAGACGGCAGTTTCGTCCTATTGTGGGACTCCTCACCAGTGTGCATCCATGATCCCACCTCGTGGGATTCGAACCCAAGGCCTTCAGCCTTGCACTAAAGCACTTAACTACTAGACCATTGAGTCGGCATCCAACAGTGTTAATGTCTAACCTTAACCAATCCGCGAAGTTGCGCGACCATCTCACATTGTGACTAGTAACTAGTGACTAGCTTCGGGAGGGAGTTCTCGGAGCTCCAGTGAGAAGCTGTGATCAGTGGAGCTAATCCTTGTGGGGTAGAGACAGGTATCTACCTCAGTACAATGGAAGATGGTCGCAAAATTTCATGGGTTGATCGAAGTTAGACATTAACACCGTTGGATGCCTGCTTACTGGTCTGAAGTTTAAGCATTGGTGCGAGAGACTGAAGGCCCTATGTTTGAATCCCGTGAGCTGGATCTTGGATACGCAGTTCTGAGGAGTCCCACAACAGAACGAAACGGTCATCCAGTGCTTTCAGATTTTCAGTGATGGTCTCACATCAATCAGTTCACGATCTCAATCAAAAACTATTTTTTTAAAAAGAATTACAATAACTGTCATTAAAACGATTATGATTATTATTCTCTACCTCAAATGATAAATTTCAAGGGTATGATAATAACTGACAATAATAGCAATAATAATAATAATAATAATAATAATAATAATCAAGAGAATAGTTTGGGTTCAAAATGGAAGAGTGTAGAGAATTGCTCATTGATAAGGGGTCTAGGTGTGAACGATAACTTTAAACCACAAATGTTTTGATATTAGCTTGAATGAAAGTACAATTTTTCTGGTCAAAACATGAAAACAATTGTCATATACTTCACTTGGTATAGTTTGACTTGTACCTTCCCATTGAGGTTTAAGTCCACAATTGATCAGTCTCTTATTGGCATATGTGCATACTGTGCGTATGCCTCGATATTGCCTTAATTCACAAGTCAAACCAAAAAATTCTGTGTATTACGACAGTTTTGATGGATTACTGTTGGGAATTAAGATCTCTATTGCTGTTGTCTTTTTCTTCACTATTTCCATCGGATCACATAAGTCTATGGTTATCTCTATGATGAAAAGGGATAGTGTTGCGATTTGTACAGTGGAAACCTAGTAGCACATACGGTCGTAGTAAAATCTCCAGAAATCCTCTCTATGATTATAATTATAAATATTAGTTGTTTGCATCTTCCTATTTACGTTTTATGACTGTAGTTGAACAGGTAAGTTCACCTTATGAAATCCGAGCAGGGTAAAACATGCATCCTAGATTCCATTGCTAGCCACTATTCATCTTTGCTTAAAATGCTTGAAAATTAATGACAATATCTAGGCAATCCATATAGGATGTATGTATATCAGAAGAGACTTAACATTTGCATTAGTTTTTGATGAAGTTTTGTTCTCTGAACTGGATGGTTTGGTCGTGGATCTTTCATCGTTCTTCTGAACGACATCATCAGCACAAATCTTCAGGTAGAAGTCACCTGAAGAAGTCTACCTGAAGTTTGTGCTGACAATGTGGTTCAGAAGAACGATGAATGCTCCACGACTAGACCATCCAGTTCAGAGGACGAAACTCCATCAAAATTGTCCACTTGAGCTACAAACCTTTTCCACCATCTCGAAATTGCATTAGTAAACTATTAATG